AAATTTTAAAAAGAATATAGTTGGAAGAAAAGCTTCTCGAGTCGCAACATTAAAGAGTAGTCATGAATAGTTTGGAAGAATAGCAATGGACAAGTATCAAGTATCGGAAATTAACCTCTGAACTTTAGGAATAGAGGAAACACTGTAAGATTTGGTAGTACCAGTTTTAATAAATGATAAGAAAAATAGTCTTTTAGATAAATAAATGGCAATATTGGCATTTGTGCTGATCTTTGGCGGACTCCACATTTGATGCACGATATTTCATAAACTTTTCACTAAAATCGACAAAAGTAAAAAAATATTGTATTTTATTATTTATTCTAGCTGTACGAGATTGAATAATATATGATTACTGTAATTAAATAAAAATGCCATTAAGCACTATTAGATATGTTCCACCTCAACTTTTGGGAATTTAATGAAAAATAAATTACCTTCGTAGTCGTTTTCGTGATATCCGATCGTAAATTATTCGTTTCCAGCTTAAGTTACACCTCCGTAATTATAGGCGAACGAATCGAGACCTAGAACAATCTGAAATGGAGAGATTATTTCAATGTAATGAAATTACATTTACTGGCATTGTTCTTATCATCATCATCAGGCCATTAATGTCCCCTCTGCTGAGGCACATGCCCTCCCTATGGATGGAATAGAAAGATTGGGCCATGACCCACCACGCAGGCCCAGTGCGAATTGGTGGGTGTTAATGATAGCAGGCGCAGCCAGCGGCTTAACGTTCCTTCTGAAGCACGGAGGAACTTTTGATACGAAATTTTTGGTCACCCATAAAATGACCGACCACTGCGAAAGTAACTTAACTTCAATTTTATCGCTTATTGAGTTGTTAGTATTGACTTTGACGCAATTTCACGATTTATAGGTTTAAATTCCCATATCTCATTTACGTGATAGTTTATTTCAAGAGAGGTAGTACATAGTGGGTTTCCTAATCAATTTGGAGCGCCCATCTGGGGAATTGACCTTCACATTACAGTAGACCACAGTAAAATAACACTACCTTAATGTGGTGTTGTTTTTCTGTCGGTGAGTAATGTTCCAGGGCTCCACGGGGTAGGTCGATAGTGTATAGGCTATGGTGGCCGACTACCATTAAGCGGACCATATGCTAACAGATATACTAAAAGAACATTTTTGTGATAAATAAAGCAAGTGTCAACGGTACAGATGCACTGATATATTTATTGACGTTTCGCAGGCATCCTGACCTGAGAAGGATGCAAAGCGTCAATAAATAAATAAATCAGTACAGCTATACCGTTAAAACTTATTTTATTTAATGAGTGGTGTGCATGAAAACCTAAGAAAGAAATATTTTTGTGATAGGTACACGTAACCACGGTACCACGGTATCTGATAGTTTAGTCGAGTTCGGGTTTTTCACTGCTTTGTGTTTGATGATATATTTTTATAGGTATTATGAAATATGAATACTATTCCACATTCTCTTATAGATAGTTCTGTTTATATCTGATATAATAGTAAAGTTTAAATATTGTGAATCATTAGGACTTGGGCATTGAAGTATGTGACGTGTGTAAATTACACTTTTACAGTAAACTGTCACTGTTATCGATTATAAAAAGAACGAATTTAGGTACTTAATGATCTTTGTATGGTATGTTAGTCAGAAGTAGAATATGTACCTACTTATTTTGTGAGAATTCTAACGGTGTTTTGTATAAAATATGAACATTTCCGTGTCTTATTTGTTGCTTCGTAATACTAGTAGAACATATTAAATCTGTTATCTGCATTACTTAAATTCTCGACGAACTTTTATAGATACTGATCGTTCTTTAAAAAATCTTTATTAAGTTTATAATGTATTTCGTACTCCCAGTAGACAACATTGAAAGCATTTTCATAGACATATCATTAGTCATATATTTATTTTATCAAGGGGTACTATCATCTTGAGGAGCTCGATGGCACAGGTAGGCCTGAGCAAACAGCCTGCGATCAATAAAGTAAGCAACTTTCGCAGTGGTCTGTCATTAGATGGGTGACCAAAAACTTATTATCTCGAACTCCTCCGTACTCCGGGAGGCAGATTGAACCATTGATACCGGCTTCATCTGCAGTCGTTAGCACCGATCAATCCACATTGGGCCTGCGTGGTGGGTTACGGCTCTGTGAATAAGTAAATTTAGTCATACAACCGGTGCTCAGCAAGAGCGATGCCCAGACGTGAAACAAAGTGATACAGATTAGACCAATTACGCTGGGATTCTTTGAAATTGTCCGGAAGACGCATTTTACGCTTGAATAAAGACCCCATTTCCGGTTCAATGGTGTAAATGTTACACTTGTTTGTAACAATGTTTCTTGCTAACAAGCATTGAACTTGCTACAAATTGATTTGAGCTTATTTTGATCCCAACTTATTCATCGACTAACGACTAGTTTAAATAATCCATTTCTTTTTTTGTTGCGTTTCATAACAACAGACATTTCTAGGTAGCTAAGATCTTACGGCCAGTTTCAATAATCAAACTTTTTGACGACCTCCGTGGCCGAGTGGTTTGTACCCCCGGTTTCATGGTGTCGCAGACTCCAGAGGTCCTGGGCTCGAATCCCGGTGAAGGCAGATGTTTGTGTGATGAATACGAGCATTTGTATTTCAATCATGGATGTTTAATATGTATTTCTATATAAATATATATATCTACAATATATATATATTCTATCCATTACCCTAGCATCCCATAACAGAAGCCTCATAGTGCTTACTTTGGGGCTAGCCTAATTGGTGTGTGTTGGAAATATTTATTATTATTCCCTATATTGTTATTTCTTAGAGCCATTTGCATCATAGTTCTTTATTCAAATTTAAAATGTTGTTTATACCTAATTATATTTTTATTTGACTTTTAACTATTGACAAAGATGAAATGATGTGTTAAACACGAGTAAGCCTTTATTTAAATTATGGACTGCAAGTGGGCCTTAGCAACAGGCAACAGTTGATAATATATTCTTAATAATAAAAATATCCGGCAACAGAACTTGAACCGGCTTATCTCGTACTGGCGTTTTTGAATACATTGTAGCTGTCTATAAGAAGTTTGAATTGTCGGATAGTTTAGCAACGTTTTATAAAATTAATAGTTATTTACTTATTTGTTCCCAAACGGCAATCGATTCGGAAAAAATATATTGTTTACAATTTTGATGACTATAAGAACTATTGGAAGTTATAACGAATTCTGTTAGAAAGTTCCAGAGTAGTCCCCTATTGGGCTTTAGGAATTGACAAGCCGATGTTCATGTAACGTTGAATGCTCTTGTGAAAAATCCATTTTATATTGTCTATGTACACATGAATATTTTAATTACACTGCTCATTGTTTTATTTTCATATTATAATTAAACATATTTATAATATATATTTTTAAGAGTCAATGATTTTGTCCATATATATTCTTTGTCTGTTTTTAAATTTGTGAAAACCGCGTGGCGTTTATATATTTTGTTTTAATTTACAAAATTGATTAACTTATGTATTGAATTCATTTTTTTAATTAATTATGTTTCATAATATCAGGTGAGTGAAGTGAAGCGTAAGCTAATAACAAATTATAATAATAACTGCATTTTTTGAAATTCATTTTAGATCTTCAATTGTTCACGGCCTAGTTAAAAAATTATTAAAGATATATCTTGGCAGTTTCAGCATCCTGATCGAAGGCCCATATTGAATTTTCCACTTCCACTCTAATTAGACGTCCGTCCGTCTGTCAGAAGGGAGCCTCCACCATGCAGATGACATCAGTAAAATAACATTGCCTTTTGATGGTGTTGTGCTGTCTTTGAGGATCTTGATGATGCAAATGGTTAGCGCATTCGGCTGAGATCGTTGAAGTTAAGCAACTTTTACAGTGATCGTTTATTGGACGGCTGACAAAAAATTTGCTATCTCGAGCTCCTCCGTGCTTCGGAATGCAATAATGCAATAACAAACGCAATGAAAGAATTAGTTATTTTGGAGAGTGAGTTGAAGTCTAGTCACTATTAACAGTAGGTCGGGTGGGATAATGCTCCGATCCGTATTATCAATCAGCAAAATAAAATAATTTGTTTAACTCCTCTTCCTAGATATATAATGATTTTACCTTTTATCTACTTTTGGAAATGTTTACTAGTCTCTTAAGTGTATTGACTGAAGAAAAAGTTGCATAGCTTTAAGGTTTAAAAATTGTACTACTACTGTAGATTTTTGTCGTGTATGTAATCAAATCGGGAATACTTTTATGTGTCATCACATTCGCCTAATTTATTGAATTCCAAAACTTAAGCAAACGGATAAAACAAAAATCTAATAATATAATCAAAACATACCATTATACACACACAATAATAAAAATAAAATTTAAAAATTAACTTCTATTTTTATCATTTTCTTATAAAAACATAATTCTTTGTTCTTCTTTATATACAAATATGTATTAATTGTAAAGCAAGTACTGAAATGTCAATATAACATTAGACATAATAGGACTAACAATAATTATTAATCCAAAAACTCTCAACAAAATTATCGCCGTATAAAATAAATAACTGCTTACGGTCAACAACATTATTCATTTACATAACTTCTTACTTCGTAAGACAGTTTATTTCACGGTTATGTACATTATTTCATTGAGTAAAAAGCCCAAATCGTAATTAGAACTCTACAATCTAGAACATTGCTTAAATGGCATCAATTTTAAAATTATTTACAACCTCAATTACACCAAATTAATTACTCCTAAAGTGCGCTACAGCACTACAGCCGTAACAGTAATTAGTAACTTATTTATTAAGCAACAAACAAGCGTTCGGAAACCTGGTGCGCGAATAAAATATGATTAATTAATCCTGACTGCGTACTCGGGTTGCTAATCCAGACCCTACAACCCTTAAGGTTGTACAAATTGAGGGGGCTATCTTGTTTCTATGCTAATTTTATCATTAAGCACACCGCGACTTACCGGCCGGATTCCAATCCTGGGTGTACTCCGCGAACTCGATCGGAACTCACTTAGTGGCACGCTAGCACTATGACATCACAAGTCACGATCCGTTCACTATAGGTCATTCCATTTCACGCATGTGCGTAGACGGCACTCGTCACGTCACTCACACTGTTGGGTCACCAGTCCTGCACTTCTGTAGGGTGCGCGACAAGCGTCCTCGCGCGTGCCGCAGCCTCGACTGGCTGGGGCGACGCCAACGCGCCTGTCCCTAACCCCCCACCCCGCGCCCCGCTTACCTCGCTCTACGGGCAAATAGAAATAAAGTATGCGCTGTAAGGACAGAACGTGAAAGAAAAAACGGATCAAGATGCCTGCAGGCGAGTACTTAGATACCGAAGCCGACGCCTCAGAGACGACCAACAGCTATTCCGATGAAGTTACGTGGATTGATTCACGATATGATTTTAGATACTTACCCGCCCCGATACACATCATTCCATTCCGAGGCTAATGATGATGTTTTGTTATAGCTTTGCGAACAGAAATTATCGAGATCGTATCAAGAGCGAGGGTGTCTCAAAGACGATTTTGAAACACACTCTCGAGTTAGAGTTAGGAGATCGTTAGTTCTAATATTTGATTGAGGAGCGTCGTGGAACTTCATGTGTTCAAGATTAATTAAACTAAGAGATACCGAAATGTGTCTCAAATTAGTGGAACTGGTATCCATTTCTCTCGTTACGGAGTTAACGTGTGTGGATAAACGGCTTTGGCGCGCGACCCCTTTTGTGAATAAATTTCAAAATTCCATGTTAGTTTCGAATGTTTATTTGTTAAATTCCCTGCGTTGTCATTACTATTGCGCGGTTTGTCCAAATAGCTTAATTTAGAAGTTAAAGTTTCTTATAAAATCATACTAATATTCTAAAATGGAAAGATTTTTATGTAAGTATGTTTGTATTGAATACGCTCAAACAATACTAGACCGCTTTTAAAAATTCTTTCACCATTTGAATGATACATTATCATTGATGAAAAAAAGCTATAGAGTATTTTCAAAGCGTTAGGGTTCCGTATAAAAACTTCAATTACGTAACCCAGGGTGTAAAAAAAATACCAAAAATATACTTTATATCGCTTACGCTACGGAAGTCATTGACAGTAGAGCCAAGTGATGTACTCAAGTTGTATAGAGGGTATCATGTCACAACTAAAGGTCCCCTGCGGTTTCGCCTGCTTTAATTTGAGGAAAAAGATTATAGTGAGCTAAACTTAAAAGATGAGCGTATGCTATTGCAGACTTTTGTATGGGACTTTTAAAGAGCAACGATTCCGCCATACGTGATTTTTGTGTAACTTTAATCATTTACGCAGTGCACGCAATGGAAGCTCACAAATGGAATATTTTTACTCGTTTTTGCAATGTTTTACATCTATGATCCACTCCTACTTGTCGTATATCTTCAAGCCTTCCTTAGTAAATGAACTTACTAACACAAAAAGATTTTTCCAAATGGACCATTAGTTCCTGAGATTTGCTCGTTCAACCAAAAAAATTGTGTAACCAAAAAACGGGTTCTAAAGTACGCTACAAAATTTTCATTATCAGTTAAATAAATGTTCATGGGTTATAATTACATAAAGAAGTAATTATTTTTCACCTTTTAGAAGCCTTTGGCCAAATAATATTATTCTGTTTATAGTGTTGTATTTTTGTACTGAGTTAGGCTTAGGATGAACAGGGTTCGGGGTTCCAACTAATTTTGTAACATTATTACTTTTCTCTCCTCAGACAAGACATTCTACGACAATTACTACGAAAATGCTACGTATTTCGTCGTATCGTAGCATACACATCAATACATTTCGTAGTACTCGTAGCTACGAACGACGATGCAACAAATACTACGTCTGCGATGTTTTAAATAAAACTCTTTGATTTATATTTATTGCTGTTTACAATCTAATAAAGATATTTTTAAATATTGAGGAAATGTAACGTTTTTAGATATATTATAGCGTAGAGAGAGATAGAGCATAGTAAAATAGCATCTTTCGGTGGTGTTTTGATTTTGTCGGTGAGTCGGGTCTCAGGGCTCCATGGGACAAAGGATTTGATCAGGGTAGGCAATGGTGCAAGTCAAATTTCTGGTATCGCAAGCGTCTGTAGGCTATGGTAGTCGCTTACGGTTAGCATGCCATTATGCTTGTTTGCCACCCTTTTAACATAAAAAACTGTGTCTATAATGTTTGTGTCAGTGAAGTAAAGATAATATATTTCCAACACTCACACCAATTAGCCTAGCCGCAAAGTAAGCACTGTAAGGCTTGTATTATGGGATACTAGGGTAACGGATAGAATACATATATGAGTATATTTATATAGAAATACATATTAAACATCCATGACTGGAGTACAAATGCTCGCATTCATCACACAAACGTCTGCCCTCACCAGGATTCGAACCCGGCACCTCTCGAGGCGACGACACCATGAAACCTGGCTTACAAACCTCTCGACCACGGAGGTCGTCAAAAAATATTGTAGCTCACTAGCCACCTCTCATCCTCCCAATGTCATAATATTTATTTTTCTTACCTTCTACATAAAGATCAATATGGTTATTCTTATGTACATAAAGACAATAAGATTATTACAAGGGTATTTCCATCAATAAATAATGTGCCAAAACATACATCATTGAAAAGTTGTATTAGCATAATTCCGAGTACGTTATAGACTTCCAGATCCTTTTTTTTATCACACACCAATTCGCCTAACCCCAAAGTAAGCACTATAAGGCTTGTGTTATGGGATACTAGGGTAACCGATGGAATACATATACTGTACTGTATAAGCATATTTATATAGAAATTTATAGTTAGAGTGAGTAGTACACATCTTTTTAACAACTATCTTTGTATGTAAACTTCAAAGTAACTTTATCTGGGATCATCGAACAACACAGAAACGCCTGGGATAGAATATAAAAAAATGCGTGAATGTCGTGTAACACTGGGCTGGAACGAAATTAGTTATATACCACCCACCTAACCGCACTGGGCCCGCGTGGCGAGTCATGGCTCAATCTCCCTATTCCATTAAAAAAGGTATCCATACCCACCAATCCGCAGTGGGCCCAGTGCGGAATGGGACCAATTTGGAAAGGGCCCAGTGCGGATTGAGCTCAGTATGGAAGCCTCCGTCTATCGCCGTCTATGGCTTTCGGTCCATCGCACACGCTCTTGGTCCATTACTTTCCAAACAGAACTTTAAACCAAGCTGACAACTACCGCCGTCAGTGGTAGCCTACCTCGCTGCCCATATGCCTAGCTAGGTTGTGCTGCCAAACAGTTTGACAAGGAACTTCGTTCTAATAATTTTCTAGGCATATTTTAAAAGATATCCAATTTATAACATAAGTGTCGATAGTTGCTACGGTATTCTATTTTTTTTACCATTTCTTAAAACATTTCCCGAATATAATATTCCAAATTTGAATTTTACATTGTACACAATAATTAAATACAATCCAAAAAGCTTCATACAAAGCACCGTAGATGTTGTGTATGTCGTAGAGTCGTAACTCGTAGCGTTCTCGTAGCAAACGTGGTAGATAACTACGACAACAGTAAAGAAAAGTCCAAAATCCATTTGCATTTTTAAGATGCAATGTTTTTTCCATTCGAACGTTCTCGACCGATTCCTCTGTGATTTTTATCATTAAAGTAATGTTTTATACATAAAATATAATTTTACTCATTCTATGCACCTACGTCTCCTTTTTTCTATAACTTGCGTTTCAAAAAAACTAGAAGCATTCAAATTTTTTTATCACTACTAAAAACTTTTTGTGTGGAGATTCAATGAGCATTTACAAAAAAAGCAAAACATAGATATATTAGAGGCCTTGTACAACTTCTTATTATTCTATGGGTAAAATTTACTTAACTAATTTTTCGTGGAGGAAATCGTGGGGGGACCAAACCTCGAATTCTGCAATTTTTAAACGAGTTTTTACAGGGTTTGCTACTGTTGTCCCTATCGCACGGTATTTGCCAATGCGCGACGGCATTCGTTTTTTCAAATACGGATTACTTAAATATCTCCCAGCTCGCGTCCGCTCTTGAATCTACAATGGATGTTTAGTGAGCCAAGACTTTTTGAAACAAAGCTCCTTTTTAGTTAATGGGAGCTAGGTCACAACCTAGCACGGCGGCTGGTGGGTAGCTGGATAGGCAGTGATATGGACAATCACTAACGGCGGTTGCTGTGGACTTGTGTTAAATAGTTTGATGGAATTCCCTATTCCGACTATGATGCAACACGCAGGCCTAGTGCAAATTAGAGGGTAGTTATTAATAATATTTTTAAATAATAATATATTAAAATTTTTAACTTAAAAACCTTCAGAAAAAGAGCGTACTCCTTCCTTAAAGGCCGGCATCGCATTTGTGATACTCCTGGTGTTGCAAATGTCAATGGGCGATGGTGATCATTTTCCATCAGGTGAGCCGTCTGCTCTATATAACATTAAAAAAAAACTTCGTTCCAAACGAGTATTCCACGTCATTCGCGTTTTCTTTTTTATATTATGAAAACAATACCTAACCTGTATTAAATCAATTAAAAAATATCGGTCGAGAAGTAACTGCTGTTCGATTTTGAAACTAAATTGGTTTCAATAATTTTACTCTGAAGAATATTGAATTATTTAAAAGTTTCAAGCTATCTTTTATCTTAAAAACAAAGATTTACTGATGAGATGGATTGTTATGATATGCATACGAAAGTACAGATATAAAAAAATGGCGGCAGCACTCCGGGAATGCCGGCAGAAGTGAAAACTAAAAGAATACTGAGCGAAATGGTAACAAAAGAAAATAAAAACTTAAATCAAATAATGGCCAACGCGTTTAAGAAAGTTATAATTTAAAAAAAAACTAAGAAAAACCTGTTTTTCTTAGGTTATAGGGGTAGCAAACAAGCATAGGGGACGCCTTACAGTAAGCGGCCAGCATACCACTTAGACGCTTACGATACAAAAAATATCACTCGCGTCGTTGTCTACCCTGACCCAAATCCCTACCCCGTGGAGCCCCTGAACCTTACTCACCGACAGAAACCCAACACCAACAAAAGGAAGTGACAACGAAACAAAAAATGTTTCGTTGTCACTGTTGTACCACGTACGACAAAACTGTGGAATACATTATCACCAGCAGTGTTAC